AAGCACCACTGATATTATAACACACTAAACACGATACAATCCTTTTACAGTGACGCTAAACACAAGCACTTCTGATATTATAACACAATAAACACAAAACAATCCTTTTAAAGTGACGCTAAACATAAGCACCACTGATATTATAACACACTAAACACGATACAATCCTTTTACAGTCACGCTAAACACAAGCACTTCTGATATTATAACACAATAAACACAAAACAATCCTTTTAAAGTGACGCTAAACATAAGCACCACTGATATTATAACACAATAAACACAAAACAATCCTTTTAAAGTGACGCTAAAGACAAGCACTACTAATATTATAACACGATATGGATTAGTACTGAAATGTTTATATTTGTATTTGTTTCCAACGCTTAAGTGCGGCTGTAGGTTACAACACTTCAATATAATACTCCTACGACTTGAATATCATTTATATGTAATGTTACTCTCATTACCAGGCGTGCTTGGATCCTCTCCCGTGAGTGTCTGAAGTAACCGGAAAGAGCGAGACGGAATATTTCCTCCAATATATTTCCTTGGTTCCGGTTCACCTGGAAGTTCCGATGCAGGCACTTCCGGTTGAGGAAACTGCTTAGAAGAGACTAATGGCCGTTGGGATTCAACTAAATGGGTGTGAGGCTTGGCCGTCCTAACGTTAGACTGAAGTGCAAGAGGCGGCGGGGATCCTGTGGAATATTAGATTAGATCAAAACCTTCAAATTCCAAGCATTATTAGATCAAAACCTTTTTTTATTTGTAACATTTTCAAAAATGTAATTGGAGCATTTACAAGTGTAGACAAAACCTGCTTTACTGGCCAATCTAAAACATGGAAGAAACTATGACAAGTCCAACTCATGAAGTTGTGGTGATCAAACAGAACTGTATTATGTTTTCCATACTTCCGACTTCAGAAATAAAGGAAATGTCTGTCAGATCATGACCAGAGAGCTTGCTAGTATCATAGTTTTATCCTCATATAAGGAAATATCTGTCAGATCATGACCAGAGAGCTTGCTAGTATCATAGTTTTGTCTTCATATAAGGAAATATCTGTCAGATCATGACCAGATAGCTTGCTAGTATCATAGTTTTGTCTTCATATAAGGAAATATCTGTCCGATCATGACCAGAGAGCTTGCTATTATCATAGTATTATTTTCATATAAGGAAATACCTGTCAGATCATGACCAGAGAGCTCGCTAGTATCATAGTTTTGTGATCATATAAGGAAATATCTGTCAGAGCATGACCAGAGAGCTTGCTAGTATCATAGTTTTGTGATCATATAAGGAAATATCTGTCAGATCATGACCAGAGAGCTTGCTAGTATCATAGTTTTGTCTTCGTATAAGGAAATACCTGTCAGATCATGACCAGAGAGCTTGCTAGTATCATAGTTTTGTCTTCATATAAAAAAAATATCTGTCAGATCATGACCAGAGAGCTTGCTAGTATCATAGTTTTATACATCTACCTTCAGAAAGAAAGACTATACTGACAACTCAACTAAGCTCAGACAGCTTGCTCCTATCATACTTTTCAGTTAAATTCAGCATACCCCAGAGTCACACTATTACATCTATTATCATATTCTTATTTTAAAACAGTTTTCTGCTCGGAAAAGAACGCTTATGGTGCAAAACAGAGTGAATTTAAGTTATTCTTATATTCTTTCAATTTCTAAGATCCAAGAAACTTTTCGGCCCATATTATAATTCAGCCCTCTTTGAGAAATATGCAAATTATGCCTGAACAGTGCTTCAGTGACTAACAAATATTAGTAGCCCTAACTTCAATAATATCTAAATACGAAAATCCAAGTCATGTATTACATATTAAGCACTAACCAAGATTAGAAAGTAACCCTAATTTTAACTGTTAGAAATATGGAAATCCCAAGTTCGTACCACTTTTTGGCTACTGGCCAATCTTAGACAGTAACCCTATTTTTAAGAATAACTAAATAGAAAAACACACCATGTTTCAACTAAGTTTTGATCTATAACTAATCTTGATAAGAACCATTGTAATCCTTATTTTAACAAGAATTTTTTACGAAAATCTCTAGCTTGTACTATGTTTTTGTCTCTAACAAACATTTGACGAATTTCCAAGGCACATTTACGTTTTAATTTTATCAACTCAAATTAAAAATACTATTTATGTAGAGAACACAGTATTTTAGAACCTATCCCAGCTATTTCCTTATTAGTTAAATCCTAGCTGGCTGCAGGATTTCACGTCAATACAGTATCTTTATTCTATTAAGTCCCTACATGCTACAGTCTCACGTCAATACAGTATCTTTATTCTATTAAGTCCCTACATAGATACTGTATTGACGTGAGACTGTAGCTTTATTCTATTAAGGTACTGTATTGACGTGAGACTGTAGCATGTAGGGACTTAATAAATAAAGATACTGTACTGACGTGAGACTGTAGCATGTAGGGACTTAATAGAATAAAGATACTGTATAGACGCGAGACTGTAGCATGTAGGGAGTGAATAAATTAAATCCCTACATG